AGGGATTCCTATTTTCATACACACCCATAACGGTCAATCATAGGTGGCACTGGTTCATATTTTATGAAATACATTTTAGCACTTTCATTCATAAATACACCTGCACTTTCACTTTCCTGCACTGAGCAAGCAAACAAGGAAAGCAAACAGCAAGAAAATTTGGCAGGTGAGGTCAAAGAAGAGTTTTTTGCCTCTTTTCTCTTTTTTGATGATCTTTCAGTCCAGACTAGTTCTCACCCAGAGAGGCATCTTCTGGGAGTTCACAACAGGGAACATTTAATACGGACATTTGGCTAGGGGGGGTTGGCAGGGAAGACACCAAGTAGCATGAACAGTGAAGGATATGTGATGTTTCTGTAACGTTTGACTTCTACTTAAAAGAACTGAAATCTGGCAAATGTAAACTTGCTGTGTAAGAACTTCAGAAAGTGTTACTATACTGAAATAAATTAATGAAGATGACAGATTCCTGGACAGGACATTTGACATTCTCCAAGAGGGGCAGAGAAGTGAAGAATGCACTAAAAGGGGGGAGAGAGGTATCCTTTGCCAGAGGCAAACACATGGAAGAATGTGACCCAAAGAAAAGAGCATCAGGAGGTCCCCCCTCTAGAAAACAATTAATAGCCACCTGAGCAAGCAGTGCAACAGAACATTTGAACCCTCTTGAATCAAAGAAACCTAACTGCCATGAGAAAGAAGAGGTGTATACTGTGATTGGTGGTTCCCTGCTAAGGCAAAGTACAGTAGCTGTGTGCAGATCTGATATGTTGTGGGAGGTAACTTACCTTTCATGTTCCCAAATACAGAGTGTGACAGGTTACCAAGACTATTCAAACCTACCCACAACTGTTTTCATCTTAATCCATGTGGGGATGAATGATATAACCAGAAGAAAACTGAAAGAATCTCTTGAGACTGCAAAGCCTTGAGCAGGATAGTGAAGGAACTCAAAGCACAGGTAGTTGGAATGCTATGTCTGAAGAAGAGAAAACAGGATCCTGGAAGTAGACAACTGGCTGTGCAGTTGTATTTGAATATTTATATAACTTAGAGGCTACCCAAATCCAAATGACTCCAGGTGACCTTTAAAAGCAAGAAACAGTAAAAATTGAGAAATAGATCATGGACATCCAGAACAGAAAAACTTGCATAACAAAAACCCTACAAGGGCTTAACAACCACCCTTCCCCAAGGCCTGGGAGAACAGCCAGGGTTTCAAAGACTTTTGGAGACATACAGGCTGGAGTGGGGGAAGGGGGCAGGGAGGGCTATTATAGAGGACAAGTTCCCTGACAGGGAAGATATCCAGAGCCAGGGGTGCACAGAATCCACTCCAGAGTCACATTCACAAGGGACAAGAGACAGGGCAAGAAGATGAGCAGCCAATGGTGTGCAGGTTCAGAAGAGGCAAGGTGGCAGCAATAAAACAAGTGGTCTGTGTTGGCCCAGGATTCAAACATCAGAGAATTCCACAAACCAGTCCAAGTCATAAAGAAGGGTTCCGGTCATAAGAGGGAGTGGCAAGATAAGGTATTAGAAATCAAAAATTGAGCACAGGTAGTCCTCGCCTAACAACGGTAATTGGGACCAGGAACTCTGTTGCTAAGAAGCGTAGTAGTAAAGCATGACATCACATACCTGTGCCAACTTACGATGGCAATTTCAGCAGTTCCATTTGTGGTTGTTAGGCAAATCCATCATGGTTGTTAGGCATGACGTCACGTGATTGCCATTTGCGACCTCCTGCTGGTTTCCCATTGACTTTGCTTGTCAGAAGCCAGCAGTGAAGATTGCAAATGGTGATCATGTGACCACGGGACACTGTGACTGTCATAATTGCAGGTCAGTTACCAAGCACCCAAATCACAATTACATGACCCCAAGGACACTGCGATAGCCACAACTTTGAGAACCAGCTGTAAATCTCCTTGTTCAACACCACTGTAGACGCTGAACGAATGGTCGTTAACCAAGGATTACCTGTAGCTATCTCCAGTTATAGGCAAACAGTAACAAATAATTATAGCACCTTCAGTATATTAAATCCATTTTACATTGTCCAGATGAATTCCCATGTAATAGAAAAGTTGTTCAAATTTATATGAATGTCCAGAAATTTTGAATCCTGTCTCAAGTCAGATTAACAAAATGTGTGTTAATGAACCTTTACTTTCATTACATCTCCAAAAAATACGAGTGCCTGCATTTATAGAAAGTCAATCAGCAAATGGCCCCCAAAATTAAAAGGCATTTAAATTCCAGAACATGCTTTTCTCAAAGTAAATTTACAGGGAAGGTCTGTAAATATACAAGTCTTATGTCTAACAAGGTTTGCAGGAACCTTACATGACTTTATGATTGCCTTCATGTCCTCATCCCAGGAGAAGGGATTTGCCACCAGATACTTCTGGACCATTTCCCAGCAGCCCTAGCCTACATGACCAGTAGTGAGGCATCCTGAGATCACAAACTCTTATTAGAGATGTGCATAAAATGAAAAATGTGTTTTGTTCCATTATTTCCATTTGAAATAGTGGCTCAAAGTTTGGCCAGACCATTCTGAGCAAAGACAAATTCTGGAGAGATCTTGGAAGTCCAAGGCTGGTGCATCTTGCTCCTTTCTCCCCTCCTCCTTTGCTTGGCTTAGGCTTATTTATTTTAGTTATTTATATGATTTATGTAGCCGCCCATATCACATAAGTGATTTTGGATGATTTACAAAGATTAAAACATAGAAAACCCACCACATATAACTCCCCAATGCCCAAGGATAAACAATAACCCCACTCACCTAAAAAAAGAAAATGCTCACCCTCTCCCAATTATCCACTCCTTCCTTTCCTTTATCTGTGTGCCCTCCCCTCACTGCTGCACATACCCAACCTGTCTGTTGCCACTGCTGGGCATATCCACTTGCCTGCGCCACAACCAGCCAGCCCACCCTCTCCATCCCCAAAGTTTGTGCCCTTCCTTTCTCTTGTCTCCTGTATTCCACTACTTCAGAAGACCATTTCTTTTTCTTTACTCTCCCACCCAGGAATACTCTGCCCAAAACATGTGTGTTCAAGATCTCTGTTCAGAACATGTATGTGTATTCTGGATCCGTGCTCAGACAAAACATGCATAGGCAACTGTTTGTACATCCTTACTCCCCATCCACTCTTTACATTATGCATCATCAGTCTTCTGGTTTAACTTTTGGGTTTTTTATAGTTTTGGATGCTCTAACAATCATATATACGCAGATGTTAATTATGAGTTTGAGTGGAATGTGCTGCCATAGAGTTGTATGCAAAAGTTTAGGTTCCCATGGTCAAATTGTATGTTTTGGTGAACAAAAACTGACACAACCTCTACATATTACAAAGTTAAAAGTGATGTATTTCTGCAAATTTGAATGCAGACTTATTATTTATATGCAATTATTAACAGATTCACAATCAGAAAACAGTGAATATAGTACACGTGGAAATTCGGACACCCTTTCAGCTAGTTCTTCATGACAGCTCCTTTGGCAGAAGTATCCGTTTCCAAATGTTTCTGTAGCCAGTAAGAATTTTTCTATTCTTTTGGAATATTTTCCAATTCTTCCTTGTAGAACTCTTCTAGCTCAGAAATACTCTTAGGTGTCCTTGCATGTATTACATGTTTGGGATCTCCCTGTGGATTCTCAATAATATTCAAGCCTGAGGACCGTGAAGACTATTTCAAAACCTTTTTCGGTTTTTCCTGCCAGCACTTAATGGTTTATTTAGAGGTGTGTTTCAGAGTGTTGTCTTGCTGAATTATCTAGCCACTTTTCAGCTTCAGTTTCTTCACTTACATAAGAATATTTCTGAGCCAGAAGAATTCTGCAAGGGAGAGTTCGAAAACACTCCATACAATTTGATCAGGGGTACTTAATTTTTTCACACAACTATATTTGTTTATTGTATAATGGATAGTCTGTATATGAGAGATTCACACACTGTGCTAAGTCATAAACTATGTATGGTTTATAAACTGCAGTGGCTAGGTTCATCTAGGCCAAAAATTCAACCAATATTTTCTTGTGTTAGTAAATTGTTTGTCTTTATGTTGCACCACCCACACGACATATACACGTACATACACACAGAGACCATACAATCAGTTAGTTAAAGTCCTGAGAAAGATTTTTTTAAAAAAGCCACTTCCCCCCCAAAAATTATCACATATTTTATTTTCAGTATTAAATTATATAGTTCACTTTCTAGGATAGTGTATTGATTCTAGCTGATAAAATATGGTTAAAGCCTGATATATTGACACTCCTAGATTAAATTCTGTCTTCATAGTGTGTATGTGAACACATATAAATTTCAATTTCTCAAGAATTTTGAATATGAAGTTTCAGACTACAGATTTTTTTTAAAAAATCAGCAAAACAGTCTGAAAACATTCCAAAAAGTCACTAAAAAGTCATGTTATAAAAATCATTAAATATTATATTAGTCTGCTGTACAGATGTTAATCATTTGTAACTTGTAAGAAAAAATAACAGCCTTTTCAGTCCAATCACCATCAGAGAAAAAAGAGGTTATAATTTTGAGATAAAATCCCAATCAGATGCTTTGTTTTTGAATATGTAGCTTATTTCCAAACAACATCAGCATATTAGATGAGATTAAATATCCCTGGTTTGGTCTCTGATACTCCTTGAAAATTAATTAGCATTACTGTTGTTAAAAACATATATATATATATATATGTATGTATGTATGTATGTATGTATGTATGTATGTATTTTTAACAACATTACTGTTGTTAAAATATATATATATTTTAAGAATATATAAAAATCTTAAAATGAATCCATTTCTTGTGTGCTTTCCTTGTGATGGAAAGTTTTAAACTATAAAAAAGGAGAAAGGAAAAGTAGCATTCATAAGAATTAAATATTCCAATAATTAAATATTCCAAATATTCCAATTAAATATACTTCTGAAATTTATCAGTGTTTTCTTTTCTTCTAACAGATAATCCTGAAACAGTGAACAGGAATGGAATGGAATGTCAAGAGACCTTGTTGAGAACAGCAAAGCATTGTTACTGTACATACAACCCTGTCTCTTCCTTAACAGAATTGCCACAAACTGCATGCTGAGTAAAGAGTTTGTTCATCTGGACAAAACACACTTAAGAGCTAGTACTGCTATATCATATATGAATATTAAATATGGTATGCTTAGTATATTCAAAACTAATCTAGTTAACTACCTGATGCCAGCTGTGATGGTTCAAGACATAAAAGGGTAATATTTTTCTTTTAAAAGTTTTATATAACACTGTTTACTTCTTAGGAATGTTGTCTTACCACCATAAAATAGTGAATGTAAGTAGTCCCGTTCATATATTGTAGAGTTCACAATTTTATGACTCTTTCAATGTTAGCAATAAATGATTTACATTGGCCACTAAATCCAGGATCCAAACAATTACATGATTAGTTCCCCATAAGTGCTGTTGCTTTGGTTGCATGTTTCTTCAACTGTACTCTCCCCACCCCAGTTTGCACAGTGAACTTCTCTTGAAACTGGACTTTCAAAAGTACATTGTAATACTGCAAAGGAGAATGTGGCTCCAAGCGTGTAGGTTAAGGGAGAAAAAAAAAATACTTTGGGCATATCAGAACTCTTTGGTTCTTTGCCAATATATGCCAACTATAGATTTAGTAATTTGACATTCTGTACTCTCTTAAAAAGCTGACTTCTCTATTGCAGGACAAAATAAGTGATGCAGTAATGGAATGTTATATTCCTACACCACTAGAGGTTCCAAACAAAATAGTTTTCCTAGCCCGGTGTCCTCCAGATAGGTAGGATTACTGTTTCCAGCATATGCAGCCAGCATAGCCAATGGCCATGTGGTGGTGGTGGTGGTCCAGGGAGTCATAATATACCATGTCTGAGGAACAGTCAATTGGATGAAGCTGAAACAGAGGATCCAAGGTAAAGCACAAATTGCAGTAATGCACACAAGCTGCTTTGGGATATGTATGGAGAAGTTATACTGGAATCACAACATTCTAGAATTAAATCAAACCTTTGCACGGTATGATTTTCATACCCCTAACAAAAGTCTTGACTATGTTATTTTACAAAGAGAGAATATTTTTTAAAGAAGTCTTTGCAGAAGTGCCTAAATTTTGTCACATAAAACTTGAAACTTAAGTGACACTGCAGTCTATAATTGAATCTATGCCAGGTGGTTAAGCTTTCAGATTTGCAATCAGGTTACCAAAAATAATGTTATAACTTCTTCCCAGTTAAGGAAATGGGGCTACAGGTTATATGAGATGATATGACATTCTATTTTAACTCAAAACTCAATGCAGTCACTGTAAAAGCTAATAAGTGACTTTAATATAGATGATTAGGAAAATATGGAAAAGGATGTACAAAGAGCTTCATTTTAATCCACTGTTACTGCTGCCATATTTTTAAAATAAGATTTAAAAAGGTATAAACAGGCTTACAACACAGAGAAAGAAACTAGTTCTTTTCATTGTTTCTTTAAAAGATTTTATGTCACAGAAATACAAAGTTATATTTTATACAGCTGTATTAAATACAGATTGTATTATATACAGCTGTATACTGTACAGGCACACATATGGGCAAAACAGATTTTAATATTTCCTTTTTCAAAACTGCATTGATTTACAAGATAGTTATGTACATTTGACTAAGGTATGTTTGTTTTTAAGGTTTCCACACTGTTTTACCAAATATGTTACATTTCATGTTTTGTATGTTGCACATATATCTCATAAATATATAGTTTTTAAATTAATGTTTCTAAACAAAAACTTGTCTAGGAAAATATGCGTAATTGTTGGAAACATTTTCCCTTATGAACATTATAAATGATTGCAGTATTTTAACTTGGGCTTTTCAGACTGATATTAAGTTTTATAGCTTTGGCAGCACCGCCTATTGTAGGAGACCAGAACTACTAATTGATGTTTAACAACTTTATTTTACAGTATTAATTTTGTTTTTCAAATGTCTAATGTCTGTTTATATTAATAGTACTTCGATCATTTAAGGAAGAACACACACATACACCCAAAAATCTTATGGAAAACAAGTTTGTAATCTTGTATTTATTTTCATTTGTGAGAAAAATGTATGCAATTTTTGTTTTTACTTGTAAATTTACTCTGTCATTATAACTTGTTTGTTGACTTGGCTGTTTACTTAACCTGTGGTTGTTAAGAGTTTTTTAATGATCCATTTAAATATTTGGTACTAAATGGCAAATTATGTATGTTTACAATATTTAAACTGTAGAAAGAATATATGAACATACTATGTTTAAACAATTATTTTCTTAGAATCACTCTAATATTATTTACTGTCCATTGATAAACAGATTTTCAAGACATGTATGAGTTTTCATCCTGGATAAAGAATGAAAAAAAAGAAAATGTATTTTTTTAAAAAAAGTAAGATCCCCTCTGTT